CGGTTCCCCCACCCAGGGCAGCGTTTCGTAGCCCCATAGGGAGCTCCACCGAAGGCCCCAGTGGGGGTGTTCGCATGCGGTTCCCCCACCCAGGGCAGCGTTTCGTGGCCCCATAGGGAGCTCCACCGAAGGCCCCAGTGGGGGTGTCCGCATGCGGTTCCCCCACCCAGGGCAGCGTTTCGTAGCCCCATAGGGAGCTCCACCGAAGGCCCCAGTGGGGGTGTCCACATGCGGTTCCCCCACCCAGGGCAGCGTTTCGTAGCCCCATAGGGAGCTCCACCGAAGGCCCCAGTGGGGGTGTCCACATGCGGTTCCCCCACCCAGGGCAGCGTTTCGTGGCCCCATAGGGAGCTCCACCGAAGGCCCCAGTGGGGGTGTCCACATGCGGTTCCCCCACCCAGGGCAGCGTTTCGTAGCCCCATAGGGAGCTCCACCGAAGGCCCCAGTGGGGGTGTTCGCATGCGGTTCCCCCACCCAGGGCAGCGTTTCGTGGCCCCATAGGGAGCTCCACCGAAGGCCCCAGTGGGGGTGTTCGCATGCGGTTCCCCCACCCAGGGCAGCGTTTCGTAGCCCCATAGGGAGCTCCACCGAAGGCCCCAGTGGGGGTGTTCGCATGCGGTTCCCCCACCCAGGGCAGCGTTCCGTGGCCCCATAGGGAGCTCCACCGAAGGCCCCAGTGGGGGTGTTCGCATGCGGTTCCCCCACCCAGGGCAGCGTTTCGTAGCCCCATAGGGAGCTCCACCGAAGGCCCCAGTGGGGGTGTTCGCATGCGGTTCCCCCACCCAGGGCAGCGTTTCGTAGCCCCATAGGGAGCTCCACCGAAGGCCCCAGTGGGGGTGCCCGCATGCGGTTCCCCCACCCAGGGCAGCGTTTCGTGGCCCCATAGGGAGCTCCACCGAAGGCCCCAGTGGGGGTGTTGCATGCGGTTCCCCCACCCAGGGCAGCGTTTCGTAGCCCCATAGGGAGCTCCACCGAAGGCCCCAGTGGGGGTGTTCGCATGCGTCTCCACTACCCGGAGGTAGCGCCGCCGAAAGCGATATTCACACTTGCGGTATTCACAGTTGCATATGGTTGGGTCCTTCGCCAGGCTAATTTCCCAACCATCCTGTGGTGTTGGGTCCTCGTTTTGAAGAGACGGTGCCCGCGTCCTCTCCTCTCCTCCTCTTCCCCCTCCTCCCTCCTCCCCCTCCTTGCCTCTGCTCTCGGCACACCTCTCACGCGTTTCGTTGCCCCATAGGGAGCTCCACCGAAGGCCCCAGTGGGGGTGTCCACATGCGGTTCCCCCACCCAGGGCAGCGTTTCGTGGCCCCATAGGGAGCTCCACCGAAGGCCCCAGTGGGGGTGTCCACATGCGGTTCCCCCACCCAGGGCAGCGTTTCGTAGCCCCATAGGGAGCTCCACCGAAGGCCCCAGTGGGGGTGTCCACATGCGGTTCCCCCACCCAGGGCAGCGTTTCGTAGCCCCAGAGGGAGCTCCACCGAAGGCCCCAGTGGGGGTGTAGTGGGGGTGTTCGCTGCGGTTCCCCCACCCAGGGCAGCGTTTCGTGGCCCCATAGGGAGCTCCACCGAAGGCCCCAGTGGGGGTGTCACATGCGGTTCCCCCACCCAGGGCAGCGTTTCGTGGCCCCATAGGGAGCTCCACCGAAGGCCCCAGTGGGGGTGGCCACATGCGGTTCCCCACCCAGGGCAGCGTTTCGTGGCCCCATAGGGAGCTCCACCGAAGGCCCCAGTGGGGGTGTCCACCGCGGTTCTCCCCCACCCAGGGCAGCGGGCCCCCATAGGGAGCTCCACCGAAGGCCCCAGTGGGGGTGTCCACATGCGGTTCCCCCACCCAGGGCAGCGTTTCGTGGCCCCATAGGGAGCTCCACCGAAGGCCCCAGTGGGGGTGTTCGCATGCGGTTCCCCCACCCAGGGCAGCGTTTCGTGGCCCCATAGGGAGCTCCACCGAAGGCCCCAGTGGGGGTGTTCGCATGCGGTTCCCCCACCCAGGGCAGCGTTTCGTAGCCCCATAGGGAGCTCCACCGAAGGCCCCAGTGGGGGTGTTCGCATGCGGTTCCCCCACCCAGGGCAGCGTTTCGTGGCCCCATAGGGAGCTCCACCGAAGGCCCCAGTGGGGGTGTTCGCATGCGGTTCCCCCACCCAGGGCAGCGTTTCGTGGCCCCATAGGGAGCTCCACCGAAGGCCCCAGTGGGGGTGTCCACATGCGGTTCCCCCACCCAGGGCAGCGTTTCGTGGCCCCATAGGGAGCTCCACCGAAGGCCCCAGTGGGGGTGTCCAGCATGCGGTTCCCCCACCCAGGGCAGCGTTTCGTAGCCCCATAGGGAGCTCCACCGAAGGCCCCAGTGGGGGTGTTCGCATGCGGTTCCCCCACCAGGGCAGCGTTTCGTGGCCCCATAGGGAGCTCCACCGAAGGCCCCAGTGGGGGTGTTCGCATGCGGTTCCCCCACCCAGGGCAGCGTTTCGTAGCCCCATAGGGAGCTCCACCGAAGGCCCCAGTGGGGGTGTTCGCATGCGGTTCCCCACCCAGGGCAGCGTTTCGTGGCCCCATAGGGAGCTCCACCGAAGGCCCCAGTGGGGGTGTTCGCATGCGGTTCCCCCACCCAGGGCAGCGTTTCGTGGCCCCATAGGGAGCTCCACCGAAGGCCCCAGTGGGGGTGTTCGCATGCGGTTCCCCCACCCAGGGCAGCGTTTCGTGGCCCCATAGGGAGCTCCACCGAAGGCCCCAGTGGGGGTGTTCGCATGCGGTTCCCCCACCCAGGGCAGCGTTTCGTGGCCCCATAGGGAGCTCCACCGAAGGCCCCAGTGGGGGTGTTCGCATGCGGTTCCCCCACCCAGGGCAGCGTTTCGTGGCCCCATAGGGAGCTCCACCGAAGGCCCCAGTGGGGGTGTTCGCATGCGGTTCCCCCACCCAGGGCAGCGTTTCGTGGCCCCATAGGGAGCTCCACCGAAGGCCCCAGTGGGGGTGTTCGCATGCGGTTCCCCCACCCAGGGCAGCGTTTCGTGGCCCCATAGGGAGCTCCACCGAAGGCCCCAGTGGGGGTGTTCGCATGCGGTTCCCCCACCCAGGGCAGCGTTTCGTGGCCCCATAGGGAGCTCCACCGAAGGCCCCAGTGGGGGTCTCGCATGCGGTTCCCCCACCCAGGGCAGCGCTTCGTGGCCCCATGGGGAGCTCCACCGAAAGCCCCCGTGGCGCAGTTCGCATGCGCTTCCCCCGCCCAGGGCAGCGTTTCGTGGCACCATAGGGAGCTCCACCGAAGGCCCCAGTGGCGCAGTTCGCATGCGGTTCCCCCACCCAGGGCAGCGTTTCGTAGCCCCATAGGGAGCTCCACCGAAGGCCCGCCCCGGTGGCGCAGTCCGCATGCGGTTCCCCCATCCAAGGCAGCGCTTCGTGGCCCCATATGGAGCCCCACCGAAAACGGCACCCACAACGCGTTACCAACAATTGCTTATGGTTGGGTCTTTCGCCAGGATAATTTCAATACGTGGTCCCTGGAAGTCCAGGCCCTTCCCGTGGGACCGGCTTCTCATCCTGAACCGTTTTTTTACCGTCTCGAGGCCCAGTGAGGGCCCCGGGAGGCCGAACATGGCCAAAAACCTCCCGCTGTGATTTTTCCACGACGCGAGCATGCCTGGGCCCCCCACCCCCACCGGATAGCACGGGTTATCGCCGAAGAACCAAAATCGGTCGCCCTCGAAGGCCGCCTTCCTCTTTCAGGAGGGAAAAAACACAGACGCAATTAATCGTCGATTCCCAGGAAAGTATGCAAAATATGGGAAGGAGTGGGGGGACCACGAAAATCAAGAAAACATGGAACAAAGGGGGAATCGTGGGACTTGTGCGGATCTCTTTGTGTGCCCCTGGGCCCCTGCACTCTTCCTCGCCGTCGCCGTCGCCGGTCTCCCCCTCGCCGCTCCGGGCCGCGGCCCCGCGCCTGCCGTCGCCCGCCCCGTGCTCCGGGCCCTGCGAGTGCGCTGCGGCGGCGCGGGAGGCCACGGCGGGAGCCCCAGACTTGCGGTGTTCCAGCCTGCTCTCGCCTGGACCGCTAGAGAGAATTTCGAGCACCAGGAAGGTGCCGGGGCTCGAGGGTTTCTGCGTGTCGGGCCCTGGGAGGCACTCGTCTGACGCTGTTTCGACACCGTTTCGACACATTTCCGGGTGCTCGGAGCTGTTTCTGGGATCGTGGTCCTTGAGTACGATGGGAGCAACATGGCCCCAGACCCCATCTTTCGTGCGGCATGTTTTGTCCGAGGTGGGAATTTATGCATGACCACCGCCTGGAGGATCAATTTGAGATAACCTCGGCAGGCGGTGGACATGGGTATATTCGGGCCCCCAGGGGCCAGAATATATCCACATCCACCGCCCGCTGGGGCACCAGAACGTCAGTTCCCAGGCGGTACATTCTGCCTCGTAGTTTGGAGCTGTGGATGGAGCTGCGGTGGTCCCAGGGCCCGAAACTGGGCGAAAACGAATGGTGTGCAAAAGATTGCAGAGCCCGAGTCTTAGCCGAACGAGCGCAGCTTCTCCTCACAATAATGAGAAGAATCATCGAATGAAGAATATTAGTATTACGAATAACAAGAACAACTTATTTAACGTAGTAATCATGCCGTAAACATAAACTTTCGAAGCTCCGCGCGGACTTTTTGGATCGGCGCTAGGCCCCCCTGGCGGCCTCAGGCGCGCTCCGCGCGCCAGGGGGTTGGGTGCAGCGCCGATCCAAGAAATGCACGCGGACCTCCGACAGTTTTTGCGTATGCCTTGTTTTGTCGGCCTACTGGGGCCAAGGGAGAGCCCCCCCCCCGGCCCGCATGACTGCCCCCCCCCCGGCCCGCATGACTGGCGCTTGCTACACGCCCATGGGCGCCTACCGAACAGCCCTGCCCTCTTCCATGCCTGCCCCGGGTGCGTTCACGGAACGGCTCCGCCCGTCGGGGGTGCTCGTCGTGGGGGGGGGGGCTTCTTCTGACCTCTGCTGGGGCCCCGCGCGCCCCGGCCAGGTCGGAGACGCCCACCGCGAGGGCCGGCCGAGGCGCTCGTCGCTGCGCGCCCACCTCGGCTTCGAGCTCCCCCCCGCCGAGCCCCGCGAGGCCGCGGCGGAGGAGGAGGAGGAGGAGGAGGAGGAGGAGGAGGAGGGGAGGAGGGAGGAGGAGAGGAGGAGGAGGAGGAGGAGGGAGGAGGAGCAGGAGCAGAGAGAGGCGCCCACCTCGGCTTCGAGCTCCCCCCCGCCGAGCCCCGCGAGGCCGCGGCCGAGGAGGCCGGCGGGGCCGAGGAGGGGGCGCCGGAGAGGCACGGCGGCGGCAGCGGGCCCTCGAAGTGGCGCGCCGCCCCGCGCGCGCCTCACTCTGCTCCTGCTCCTCCTCCTCCTCCCTCCTCCTCCCCCTCCTCCTCCTCCTTCCCCTCCCTCCTCCTCCTCCTCCTCCTCCCCCTCCTCCTCCTCCTCCTCCTCCTCCTCCTCCTCCCCTCCTCCTTCCCCCCCCCTCCCCCTCCTCCTCCTCCTCCGCCTCCCCTCCTCCTCTCCTCCTCCCCTCCTCCTCCTCCTCCCCCTCCTCCTAACCTCCTCCTCCTCCTCCTCCTCCTCTCCTCCTCCTCCTCCTCCTCCATCTTCTCTTCCTTCTCCTCCATCTCCATCCCAGGCCCATCCCCCTCCCGTCCTCCTCCTCCTAGTCGTCCTCCTCGTCGTCGTCCTCCTCCTCCTCCTCCTCCTCTTCGTTCTCCCATGCCAAAGATGTTCCGAGGCTTCGACAAAACTGAAGCGGCCGGTTTTTAGCCGTTGTCGGCCTCCAGGGGCCCTCAACGGGCCCTGGGATAATGTCAAAAAGTTACTCATGAGACGAACAACCAGCCCTTGCGAAATGGTCCAGACCTCCCGGGGCCCACGCGTCGGACAAACCCGGAGCGAAGGATGACTGGGGCCAGGCTCCCTCTGGCGGTAGGGAAACGCCTGAACTGAACTGAACTGACACGCCGTGTCTCTATGACACATCGGCTGTAGTGCTGGTGCGCGACGGGCAAGGAGGCGTCTGTCCTAGCCGCCGCGGGAAATTACCCTGGCTAAGGACCCAACCATACGCAGTTGTTAGCACCGCAGTTCTATCGCCTTCGGTGGGGCTCCCTATGGGCCACGAAACGTCGTGCTGGGTGGAGGGGGACGCATGTGGACACCGCCACTGGGGCCTTCGGTGCTCCCTATGGGGCCTCGAAGCGCTGTGCTTGGTGGGGTGGATGCATGTGGACACCGCCACTGGGGCCTGAGGTGGAGCTCCCGATGGGGCCACGAGGCGCTGTGCTGGGTGGATGGGGGGGGCGGATGTGGACACCGCCACTGGGGCCTTAGGTCGGCCTCCTTATGGGGCCTCGAAACGCTGTGCTGGGTGGGTGGGGCGCATGTGGACACCGCCACTGGTGCCTTAGGTGGAGCTCCCTATGGGGCCTCGAGGCGCTGTGCTGGGTGGGGGAGATGCATGTGGACACCGCCACTGGGGCCTGAGGTGGAGCTCCCTATGGGCCACGAAACGTTGTGCTGGGTGGGGGGGACGCTTGTGGACACCGCCACTGGGACCTTAGGTGGAGCTCCCTATGGGGCCTCGAGGCGCTGTGCTGGGTGTGGGAGATGCATGCGGACACCGCCACTGGGGCCTTAGGTGGAGCTCCCTATGGGGCCACGAAACATTGTGCTGGGTGGGGTAGGGGGACGCATATGGACACCACCACTGGGGCCTTAGGTGGAGCTCCCTATGGGGCCGCGAAGCGCTGTGCTGAATGGGGTGTGGGTGTGGGGGGACGCATGTAGACACCGCCGCTGGGGCCTTAGGTGGAGCTTCCTATGGGGCCTCGAAGCGCTGTGCTGTGTGTGGTGAATGCTTGCGGACACCGCTACTGGGGCCTCAGGTGAAGCTCCCTGTGGGGCCACGAAACGCTGTGTTGGGCGGGGTCGGGTGGCGCATGTGGACGTCGCCAATGGGGCCCTAAGTGGAGCTCCCTATGGGGCCACGAAACGCTGTGCTGCGTTGGGGGGGGGGGGCGCATGTCCACTCCGCCACTGGGGCCTTAGGTGGAGCTCCATACGGGGCCACAAAACGTTGTGCTCGGTGGGGGAGACAGAGGCAGGGATGGAAGGAGGGAGGAGGGGGAGGATGAGGAGGAAGGAGGAGGAGGAGGAGGAGGAGGAGTGAGACGCGGGACGCTGTCTTGTCGAAGCGAGGACCCAACACCACAGGATGGTTGGGAATAATCCAGGTTGCAGTCGCAGCGTTTACGTGGCAAACTCAGGTCGCTTCGCCATTGCCTTCCACACGGACTTCCTGCATCGTGTCGGTCCAAGAAAAATGCTCAGGGCGAAACATTGGCCACAGGAAAGTGGTCCAGACCACCGCTGTGGTCTCTGCTGCGATCTCTGACGGCCCTGCGTCGTGACGCAAGCGTTTTGTGGTCAGCGGCGAAGGCGGACGTCACCGTGGTGGGTCAGCCACGCCACGACAAAAGCACGGCGGCCGGCTTTTGACAGTTTTCGGGCTTTGCGGCCTTTGCCGGGTTCCGGGGCAGTGGAAGAACGGCTCGGGATGAAGAACTGTGCTTGGCGAGGTGATTCAAACCTTTGGGGAGTCACGTTCGCCTGGGATGCTGGTTCGTCTTATTTGGGTGGTGGGTGGACGAGCGGCTGGGGATGGCGGTGGATCAGAGCAGAAAAGATATAGTACCGATGCCGTTTGTCCGCTCTTGCTTTTCGTTTTCTTTGGGGCCTCCTGGGGGTCCCTCGTCGCCACGGCTGGACTCGCTTTTCAATCCTGGCCAGATCCCACTCAGGGAGAGGCCCGGGAAGTAGCGCTGTCGGTATTTCTTAGTGTCCCACGTCGGCGTAATGCTGCAGGGCGGCGCAGCTTTGCAGTCGGGGTGCCTGAACGGCTCTGCCCCCCTGCCGCCGCCCCCCTCTGTCCGCACGAGTGGGCTGGGAGGTGGGGAGACTACGAATCCGGTGGGTGGGGTGGTCGATTGGATATGGCTCGGCGGGCGGGTTTGGCAACCTGGCCGGTTAACGGACAGAGCGAGGTACGAGTGATGACGTTCTGGTGTGGGCGAAGCCCCTTAGGGGGAGTGCAGAGGGGGGCGAGGGTTGTGGACCTGCGTGTTAATGGCCGTTTTCGGGTTTTCCCTCGGGTCTTGCATGTTTTTCGGGTTCTCCCCCAAAACGGCCCAAGAGCGCTACAAGAAAGCCCAAGACCGCCCAAGACGGCCCAAGAGGCCCCCAAGAGGCCCTCAAGAGGCGCCCAAGACCGCCCCAAGACGGCCCAAGAGGCTCCCAAGAGGCCCCCAAAACGGCCCAAAAGGGCGCCAAGACGGCCCAAGAGGCGGCCAAGACGGCCCAAGAGCGCCCCAAGACGGCCCCAAGAGGGGGACCACGAACCGAAAAGTCTAGCCTTTCGCCCCAAGAAGCTCCCAGGAGGCCCCCACAGCCCCCCAAGAAGCCCCAAGAGGCCCCCAAGAGGTTCCCAAGAGGCCTCCAAAAGGGCCCGACAAGGGGTCCAATAGGACTCCCAAGAAGGCCCAGAGACGCCAAATAGAGAGCGATCGGTAACGCAAAAAGCTCTTCACACCAAGGCTCCCAAGAGCGAACGGTGACGTCAACAAGCTGATAAGACCAAGGCTCCCAGCAGAGAGCGGTGACGTAACAAGTTCCTGACACCAAGGCCCAGCCAAGGCTCAGGAACGGGCGGCAACGCAACAATCTCTGAACACCAAGGCTCCCAAGAGCGAGGGGTGACGTATCAAGCTCTCAACGCCAAGGCTCCCAGTACGAACGGTGGTGTGAGTGATTTCGGTCCAGTTGTTGAAGCGCTCTTTCCGTTTCCGTGCCGGCCCAGGTGGCTGGGCGGCTGGCTGGCTGGTCTAATGGCGGGCCGGCTCGTCGGCGGGTGCGCCAAAGGGGGGCAGGGCACAAAAAGGACAGGTCGGGGCCGCGGGCGCCTTCCGCGATTCTGCGAGGGTTCGTGGCCTCGGAGGCGCGGAGGCTTCCTTCGCGAGGGGCTATGGCCCCGGGATCCCAGGGCCATCCGAAGGTTTCACCGGGGATCGTGGCCTCAGGAGCGCGGGCCCCTCGTTCTATCGCTGGTGTCGTGTGGGGTCTTTGTCTTCTTCTTATTATTAGTATTATTATGTTGCGTATTCGTATTATTATTATTATTATTATTATTATTATTATTATTATTATTATTATTATTATTATTATTATTATTATTATTATTATTATTATTATTATTATTATTAGTATTATTAATAATATTATTATCATTATTAATATTATTATTATTATTATTATTATTATTATTATTATTATTTTGATTATTATTATTAGTATTATTATCATCATTGATATTATTTTTTATTATTAGTATTGGTATTCTTCTTCTTCTTCTTATTATTATTCGTATTGCTATTGCTACTTTCATTCGTATTCGTCTTATTGCCATTCTGAGTATTCTTTGTATAATAATAACTATCATTGTTGAATTTAATTACTATGCTTATTGTTATTCATATTCTTCTTCTTCTTAGATGTATAATACTTATTCTTCTTCGCCTGTGTATTATTATCAAACTTGTTATTAGGGGGTTGGGTGGGGTTGGGGATCGTCGCCTCGGGGGGGAGAGAAGCTGGAGGTGGAGGATGGGAAGGAGGACGCAGGAGTCGAAGAGCGGCGCCACGTGTTGTGCTGTTCTTCTCTCGTCATTCTCGGTCTTCTCCCTGGGGTGGCCCGAAGCTTTCTATCGCCGACACGTTATGCTTTTTCTTTGCTTGGCCTGAGGGTGCTCCCAAAGTTCTGGCGCTCGTCTTGCGCTCCGCCCTACTCTTCGCAGCTCTTCCTGTCTCGTCCTTCTCATACCGACCACTCGTGCTCCTCCTCCTCGTCCTCCCATCTCTTCTGCTCCCGGGGTGCGTGGGGCGACGGGCGGCGAGACAGGCTGCGCCTCCAGCCCACGCTCCGCCTCCTCCTCTTCTGCTCCTTCCCTCCCTCCTTCCTCCCCTCCTTTACCTCTTTCTCCTCCCTCCTTCCTCTCCCTCCTTTCTCCCCTCCTTCCTCCCCTCCCCTCCCCTCCCCTCCCTCCCTCCTTCCTCCCCTCCTTTCCTTCCCCCCACATGGATCATGCATATGACAGGTCGCGTGGGCACCCCCGTCCCCCACCCGCTGCAAGATGCGGGCAGGAGGGGGACGAGGAGGAGGAGGGCGACCAGGAGGAGAGGAGAGGGAGGGGGAGGAGGGAGGGAAAGGAGGAGGAGGAGGAGGAGGAGGGAGGTGGGAGGAGAAGGAGGAGATGAGAGGAGGGAGGGAAAAGAGGAGGAGGAGGAGAAGCGGGAGGAGAAGCAGCTGGGCCAGTACAGTACACGATCCGGCGTGCCCCCCCCAAACAGTGCTTCGTTGTTTCTGGTATGCTAGGTGATGCAGCAATAGTAATCATAGTATTCATATTATTGATAATGTTACTACGAATCATAACGTTGTGAAAGCTGTGAGGCTCAAGCTGTGTGGTGTAAGCTATGTGGTGCAAGCAGTGCCGTGTAAGCTATGTGGTGCACTCTGCGTTGTGCAGTCCACGTGGTGCGATCCGTGGGGTGTGAGCTATGTAGTGCAAGCTGTGTGACGCAATCCACGTGGTGCGATCTGGGTGGTGTGAGAAGCAAGGCAGGGCACTCGAAGCGGTGTACTCTATGGTGCTTCATTCTCCATATCCTAAGGATGGGGTTATTGTTATTTCTCCAGTCGTGTCGGCTTCTCCTTTACCTCGCTCCTTCTCCTCCTCATCTTCTTCATGACAGAAAGATTATGATGATGATGCGGACGATGACGATGATGATGCTGATGATGATGATGATGATGGTGGCGGTGGTTAAGACGATGATGATGATGGTGGTGGTGATGATGATGACGCTGCTGATACCCATGATGATTATGCTGACGATGCTGATGATGCTGCTGATGATGATGAAGATGGTGTTGTTGATGATGTTGATGATGTTGAGGATGGGGATGATTATGGGGATGCTGATGATGATGCTGATGCTGATTCTCATGCTGATGCCGCTGCTGCTGCTGATGATGCTGACGATGACGATGATGATGACGATGATGAGGATGACGAGGATGATGATGCTGACACTGATGATTATGATGTTGTTGATGATGATGATACTGATGCTGATGCTGATGATAGTAATGATGCTGATGATGATGGTGATGTTGATGATTATTATTGTTATCCTTCATATCCAAAGGAGGGGGCTCTTGTCATTACTCCTACCGCGCCGCGGTTCACACCTTCTCCCCTCCTCCTCCTCTTCCTCACCCATAGCGACACTCAGATGTTCTGTTATGACATGGCATGGCATGCCATGTTATGCTATTCTTTTTTGATGTAATGTTGTGATATGGTATGGTGTGGTATGGTACGTTATGTTAGGTTATTTCATGTTCTGTTTTGTCATGGTATGTTATGTTATGTTATGCTATGATGTGTTGAGGATGGTGGTGATGATGATGGTGGTGGTGGTGATGCTACTGTTCATAAGGATGCTGATGATGATTATGCTGCTGATGGTGATGATTGATGATGGCGATGCTGATTCCGATGGTGAAGATGAAGATAATGCTGAGGATGCTGATGATGATGCTGATGCTGATGATGCTGATTCTGATGCTGATGCTGATGCTGATGCTGATGCTGATGCTGATGATGATGCTGCTGATGATGATGATGATGCTGATGATGATGATGATGATGATGATGATGATGATGATGATGATGATGATGATGTTTTCTGGAGCAAATGCTGAGGATATCTCGAGCGAGGCACGGGTTTCAGCACCCCGAAGGGGGGGGCGCCAGGGGGTATTGCACTTCTCCGTTCGCGCCAACATGGCGGGGATGTCTCGAGTGGTTTGCCTGTGTGCTGGTCCTAACATCCTCCGCTTTCGGAGCAGAGTTTGTGGTTGTCTCGAGCGAGGCGCTGGTTTTCGCCCTAAGGGGCGGCCGTCCAGGAGGCCCCGGGAGGCCACAGGAGGTCCCAGGAGGCATCAGGAGGCCACAGGCGGCCACAGGATGTCCCAGAAGGCCACAGAAGGCCCCTGGAGGCCCCAGGAAGCACTAGGATACCCCAGGAGGCCACAGGAGGCTGCAGCAGGCACAGGAAGCGCCAGGAGGCACCAGGAAGGCACCAGGAGCCCCCACGAGGCACCAGGAACAAGAGGCCTCAGAAGGCCACAGGAGTGGCTCCAAACCCTACTGTTTTACGTTTGTTCGTATAGACAGGGCCCCTTGGAGTATGAATCCTCGATGGCTTACGTCTGTCTGTATATATTGTTTATACACACCGGGCCCGGGGGACGAGGGCCAGAACCTCGACCACAAATGTGGGCACCGGGGCCTGGGCCCGCCTCTGGGAGGCCTAAAATCGCCTTGGGGAACCCTCAGACAGCAATGCCGGCGGCCCCGGACGGTCACGAGACACCCCCCAAGATTCCGTCCAGGTGTCTCTGGCGACGCACGATGCGTTTTAAATTGCCCCGGAGGCCCCCAAGACGCCCCAAGAGGCCTTTAAGACGCCGCCCAAGAGCGCCCCGAGAGGGCAACATCGTTGATTGTCATTTGTTTTTTCAATGCTTTTTGTTGCATTCTCGCTGTTTCGCGCTTCTGGCGCTAAAGCACCGCCCAAGAGGTTCCCCAAACCGCTCCAAGACGGCCCAAGAGGCCCCCAAGAGGGCCCCAACACGGCCCAAGAGAGCCCCGAGACGGCCCCAGAGCCGCCCAAGACGGCGCAAGAGGCCCCAGGAAGCCCCCTAAGAGGCCCGACGAGGTCCCCAAGAGGCCGCACGATGCGTTTTAAATTGCCCCAGAGGCCCCAAGACACCCCAAGAGGCCTTTCAGATGCCGCCCAAGAGCGCCCCGAGAGGGCAACATCGTTGATTTTCAGCTTTTGTTTTCAATGTTTTTTGCATTCTCGCTGTTTCGTGTTCCTGGCGCTAAAGCACCGCCCAAGAGGCTCCCAAAACCGTTCCAAGACGGCTCAAGAGGCCCCCAAGAGGGCCCCAACACGGCCTAAGAGAGCCCCGAGACGGCCCCAGAGCCGCCCAAGACGGCGCAAGAGGGTCCCAAGAATGCCCCAAAAGGAACCCAAGAGAGGGATCGCGAGCGGAAAAATCAAGCTCTCCGCCCCGAGATGCCCCCAAGAGGCCCCAAGAGGCCCCCAGGAAGCCCCTAAGAGGCCCCACGAGGCCCCCAAGAGGCCGCACGATGCGTTTTACACTGCCCCAGAAGCTCCCGAGACGCCCCAAGAGGCCTTTCAGATGCCGCCCAAGAGCGCCCCGAGAGGGCAACATCGTTGATTTTCAGCTGTTCGTGTTTCTGGCGCTAAAGCACCGCCCAAGAGGCTCCCCAAACCGTTCCAAGACGGCCCAAGAGGTCCCCAAGAGGACCCTAACACGGCCCAAGAGAGCCCCGAGACGGCCCCAGAGCCGCCCAAGACGGCGCAAGAGGGTCCCAAGAATGCCCCAAAAGGAACCCAAGAGAGGGAACGCGGCTTTCCGCCCCAAGATGCCTCCTAAGAGGCCCCAAGAGGCCCCCAGGAAGCCCCCAAGAGGCCCCCCTCGAGGCCCCCAAGAGGCCGCACGATGCGTTTTAAACTGCCCCAGAGGCCTCCAAGACGCCCCAAGAGGCCTTTAAGACGCCGCCCAAGAGCGCCCCGAGAGGGCAACATCGTTGATCGCCATATGTTGTTTTCAATGTTTTTGAATTCTCGCTGTTTCGTGTTTCTGGCGCTAAAGCACCGCCCAAGAGGCTCCCCTAAACCGTTCCAAGACGGCCCAAGAGGCCCCCAAGAGGGCCCCAGCACGGCCCAAGAGGGCCCCGAGACGGCCCCACA